AGCCAATGTATTTATTTTTCAAAATTTAAAGACGAGTTTAAAGGCTACTTTTTAAAATATTAAAATGTCTACAGACGATGAAGAACACAGTGAAAGCGAACTTTACTATCTCACAAAAGATATTACTCTTCCCGATATAGCATTGATAGAAACGACGTTATATTTGGCAGCTTCATTCGCGTGCGGGAGGAGTGATTGAGGAAATCCAGGGGAGGAATTAAAAAAAATAAAAATATTATTTACCGGTATGGTCGGTCCGTATAGAGAAATATTTCTCTCGGTCTTAAAAACGTCCCTCGGCCTTCGGCCCGTTTTTAAGACCTCGAGAAATATTTCTCTATACGGACCTCCAATCCGGTAAATAACATATATATTTTTTTTTTCTTGCGGTCCGAAGTCATATTTTACGCTTTTCTGCAATCTGATTGGCTACGTGAGCGGTCCGTATGAGCCCGTACGGACCGCGCGAGATTTAAAGCCGTAGAGCCAATGTTTTTATTTTTCAAAATTTAAAGACGAGTTTAAAGGCTACTTTTTAAAACATTAAAATGTCTGCAGACGATGAAAAACACAGTGAAAACGAATTTTACTATATCACAAAAGATATTTCTCTTCCCGATAGCATTGATAGAAACGACGTTTTATTTGGCAGCTTCATTCGCGTGCGGGAGGAGTGATTGGGGAAATCCAGAGGAATTAAAAAAAAATAAAAATATTATTTACCGGTATGGTCGGTCCGTATAGAGAAATATTTCTCTCGGTCTTAAAAACGTCCCTCGGCCTTCGGCCTCGGGCCGTTTTTAAGACCTCGAGAAATATTTCTCTATACGGACCTCCAATCCGGTAAATAACATATATATATTTTACAGACTCCTCAGAATTACATAATAGATGTCCCTCTCTCTACTAATGCCCTCTCCCTACAGGGGTGAATTTAATTAAACATTTATTAGGAGTAGTTGGAGTATAAGTGTAACAGAGGCTAAGAGTTACAAAAGTTAAATATTCATGAGTTTGACAACTCTGCAGCTGCTGAGAAGTGTTTCATAGAAGTGTCATATGTAATATGAATAAATTCCCCTCTCTAATAAGACACCGTTTATATTTAATAAACACACAAGTTTATTGACATACACATGTAAGGGTGCGAAAGAAGAAAATTTTTCGTGTCTACAATAATTATTTTCAAATATTTTTCAATTTTGACCTACAAAAATATTTTCTAATATGCTAACACTGCTTTGTATGATATGCATCTGACAATTGATATTTGATGCTTAAAACTGACTGAAAAATTTTGTATGACAATTTGTCATATTTTGTAAGCTGCTAATTTGCACCCTGGACATAATTTTAATCTGTGAATCAATACCCTGTCCTTGTCTGCACTTTCATCAGATTTCTCATTCTTACTGCTTCCACTTTTATTGAGCAACTTTGCACGTCTTTCTAGCTGTAACAAATTGCTTGAATTTAAATAACAATTTGCATGTAACACGACAGTAAATGTAAGTGCAGGGCGTGGAACCCTTAGTTTATCATACCTCTTGCTTCCTGCGATCTTTTAAAGGCACATATGGCGTGTAGTCTTCTTCATCAGATGAATCTGACTCATGTTTTTGTAGAGCTCGCTAGTGAGGAAAATACTTATTATATGTAATCCAGACTGCAAAGTTTCTTTGTCTAACGTTTTGTATGGCATGCCGGCGTGGTACAAAATTTTTGCTGGTCGTGCTGGCGTGGTACACATATCATAACACACAGGAAAAGTGATCATTTAATTATGTAAATTTTGTAAACAAGAAATATAAATTAGAATATCATTTTTACCCCCTTGGATATCACTAAAACACCTAATTTTTGCTATTTTTTTGAAAATTTCTTAAGCTACACTCTAGGAAATTTTAAGGTAACCCCCCCCCCCCATAGGATATCCAGACCCCTCAATAGGGGGTGCCTATATTAAATGGAATGGCCCATTTAGTTCTATAAAATATTCGAAGTGGCTATATCTACGGGCCCGTATTAAAACAGACTTTGCCAGGCTATATTTACGGCACTCTCGTTCTTAGTCTCCATACGGCCTGTATTTATCGTTAAAGTCAAATTAAAACAAAAATAACCCTAATCCCAATCCTTCCCCTAACCTAACCTCTAACCCTAACCCCCCAAAAAATTAAAACTAGTCAGAAAAAAAGTTAAACATGTTTTGTTAAGGCAAACAAAAAACCATCACAACTTGGATTCGAACCCGCGGACTACAACACAGCAGCAAATGGCCTAACCTTCTGAGCTATTTTCGAGCTCGCTGAAATCCTTTGTAAACAATACGCTTTATAGTGCCGGTTCGGTACATCGAGTGCTGTAAATATAGCCTGGCGAAGTCTGTTTACGGACCCATAGATATAGCCACTTTGTAAAATATTGGCTGTCCAAACTTTACAGAATATATGACTGATTTATTGACCCTCTGTAACATAATATCACATACAATTTGTAATAATTATTGGAGTCCGCTCAAAGACTCATGACTGGAAAGTTTGGAAATTGCGCACCCGAGATTTGAAAAAAATAAAATATCACAAGCAAAATATTTCAATATAATAAATGTCACATACCTTAGAATAACTGGGTTTATTTGAATCATCTTCTAGCCTCCTTTTTCTTTCATTTCGCTCCATACTTATTTTTAAAATACTTCCAGAAATTCACCACATACTTGCAACAGAATCCGAGTTAAAAACTAGTTGTTTTCAATGTTTTCAACTCCTCAGTAATCCGCCATGTTGATTTTGATTTGTGACAATTCTGTGTTTCCACCACTGGTTTCCACCTTTCATTTTAACCAAGAAAAATTTACCACAGTAACTTCCGTAACTTCTTGAAAATTTGGTGAGATTTCATTCATATTTTTTTACAAACCTTTAGTCATTTACAATCCTAATACTAGAAGTTACTATCGCAAGGAAAGTGCTGCCTCACCCCCAAGGGATCAAAGGCAGTCTGCACAATTTGCTGAATAAGGGGCTGTTTATATGATCCCGCTTTGCCAGGACAAGTACGAGGCGGATGAATTCGATGTATTGAAAGAAGTTATGGTGCACGATTCAACAAAAACTTCATTATTTTCTAGAGATAGTTTGTAGTTAACTGTAAACGAAAGTATATTTTGTGTTCAATATATAGACCACAGTACCTGAAGATGGAGTAAATCTCCGAAACGTCGTTTGTTAATGTAATAAACACATTTAAAAAAAGTCTTACTGTGGTCTATATATTGAACAAAAAAATACTATTAACATGAGGCTCAGGGAAAGTTCATTCCTAAACATTTTGTAAACGAAAGGTTTTTTCAAGCACCAATAATAATCTTCTTGAACACAAGATCTTCTTTACAACATTTGAGTTCGGTTAACCAGCATTTAAACTTTTGTTTAGCCCAGTGACTTATTTCAATACAACAAAATTTCCCACCTTCCCGCATTATGTAAACAGCCCCTAAGGCGTTCAGGGGGCAGGAATTCTATTTTTTGGCATGGGCAGTTTTGCATGAATACCTTCAATGCTTATAACGTCTTGCTTTTGTATGTATAATTATAATGCTGTCAGTGGTGAAGATAGCCATAGCAACAGGTCATGCTATGCAAGTTTTTAATGATTTGTTTGATTCAAATAGATGCAAGTTTATCAGCATAGGCATAGCATGACCAGTTGCAATGACTAGCTCGCCACTAACCAGAGATCAGGCTCTATTTTACAAATATAGCCTGACACAAACATTAATGTGATAGCTTTCCACCCACAGCAAAGTTTATATTTAGTATCCAATCAAAATGTCGCAAGAGAAATTTAAATTTCACACAACGACAACAATCTAATTATAGTTGTGCTCACTATAAAATATATCATCAACAATAGTATAAATATCTAATTAGCACCAACCAATCAAATGACAGATTAAAAAATCTTTTGTCTCATAGACCAATCAGATTTACAACCGAATATGGCTGTAAGGCATGTTAAGGTTTGTATCAGGCCTATTTATTTATTTATAGGCCTGATCGCAGGTTAGCTCACCACTGAATACTGTACAATATCATATATTTATATACATAAATGATAATAATACTTGAATGAATCATTGGACATGTAGAATTTAATAACAATTTCATGTATAGAAATACTATACAAAACTACCCCTATCGCAGAACAACTGACATTTTTGTTTAATTTAATTAATCCATCAGCTTCATATGACACCATTCATTTGTAAAGATTAAGATTGTACTCAGTCAGAACTTCAAAACTATATAATAAGAAAGATATTGTGAGCATTATTGAAAAAAATATAGTGTACCCTGAAATGTAATAACACAGCCAGGTGAATATATGCCGGACTGTATTATGTAGGCCAGTCCTATCTCAGAGATATATTTTTACAGACTGTCATACCTTGTACAAAAGTCGGTTGACATGCTATTACATGTATTAACTGCTGGTAAGTTAATATTTCCAGATAACCACAGGTAGATTTACTGGGGGGTTAGGTATGGTTAACTTCCCCCTGTAATCTCTCTAACCCCGAGGTCTTATAAAATGTTCAACACTTCAACCCCACCAAAATTTCGCTTCACCCCTCCTATTTTGTGTGAAAAAGTCGTTAACCCTACACCCGAAGCTCTACTAGATTCACCCCTACTATAAATAATGAAAACACGCCCTTGCAGGCAACAATCCAAACTGGATTGCTATATCATTCCACGTAAACTTGTTTTTAAAACGTGATGAAAGCACATTGCTATAAACATGTAGAATAAACACTAAACTCAACGCCTTGGGACATCACCACACAAACAAATAAACTATTTATACTGTAGTTTATCATGATAAATTCATGCTGATAGTTCTGCATGAAATTATAGTGTTCTAAATATAAACGCACATTGCTATAAACATGTAGAATAAACACTATTCACTAAACTCATCGCCTTGGGACATCACCACACAAACAAATAAACTATTTATAGTTTATCATGATAAATTCATGCTGATAGTTCATTAAATTATAGTGTTCTAAATATAAACGCCTTCGGCTTCATGTATATTTATCGAAGTGCATGTCTATACAGCTGGTTTTGCATGATGAAAATGTAAATCATATAGTGTTTATACGTACTAAATTAAATATAATTTCGCTACCAGAAAGAAATAAAGCTATCCTTACCTGAATTACTGAAAATATCGGCGATGTTTTGCATCATGAACATGTAAATAAGCTAGCTTTAATACTGCCTGATATTCTGCTGATATTGATATAAAGCTAGAACTTGATGCTTGATCGTGTTCAATACAAAATATAAAAGTTTGACCGCCCCCCTCGTTTAAAAAAAATTCCTGAAGCCTTAATTATTTCCCCGGAATTACGACAAACATCCGACAGACAGACACAAAATCGAGATCTCGACAATACATAACTCGGGTAAAGAGACTGGGCACAAGTAAACGCGATACTTCATGTTAAGAATAGTGTGCTGCCTTCGGCAGCAATTAATCCTTTTAGGCTATATAAGCATATTATATAGCTTTTAATACGCATCATGATCGAAATATCGATTTTTTGCAACAATTTGAACATAATAGACGTTTCCCCTTTTAGCAGCACGCGCGCAAAGCATCCCGGTAGTTGATTATCAAAGTCAATTTGAGTTGTCATGGCGAAGTGTTTGGGAGGGATGTTTTCCCGAAGGAAATCTTGTCGATTTTCAGCCTTTTTTATCTAACCTTAAAGGATAAAAAGCGTGTCTTGAGAAAATCATAACTCCTTGCTATGTGTAGACGGAATGATGAAGGGATCGGTTGTCGTTTTAGCGAGAAAAACGGATTTTTAATCACCAAGGAGCGACAGTTTATTCGACGAAAATGGCCTTCGAATCTAGGGTTCCTTTCACTTGCAGTCGGTGAGTTATGGTATTATGTAGCGATCAAAAGATTATTTTGATATGTCAACAGTCCTCTACATTCTGTCTTTCAGTATGAATAATTTTAGACTCGCTTACTCATTTTCTCGTACATTTTTTGTTCCTTAAATACGGCATGCGCTTTCAACTTTTCGGCTTTCATTTTATACATATCTAGGCTTGCTTGTAGTTGTTTGGCTTTGCCTATTTTGGCGCAAAAATTACAAACATTTGCAGCCAATGTTGCAGTTTTAGTCTACGGCCGTAATATTTTCGCTTGTTTTCTGGAGTTTTGCTTGTTTTTGTCTTGCAAACTTTTGTAAAGTCTTCGTTGTTATCTTCTTGTATTTGCCAGAATTAAAGTAGGTTCTGAAATTGTTCTAAAATTCGAAAATAATTTTATTTTTGGTCACAAAACTTCGTTAAAAACCCAGTTTTGTGCACAAATTTTGTAAACATTAAAACATAGATTGTTTTTAAAAATGTAGGTGAGTTTTACAGGTAGAATTTTTCAAATTGAAATAGGGAATTAATACAGTACATTAATAATATAAATACAGTTAAATTTGATATTAAGTAGTAAAATATACTGTATCTATAAAAATATACAGTTATAACAATAGGACATAATTCATAAATAAATATATCTGACAAAATGGAGATGAACCTAGCACCTCAAAGAATGCAAACAATACTCAAGTAGAAACTCAACCATGGACTAGGGATCTGAAGTTACTTCCTCCATTCACCAACAATAAACTTCAAAAACACTTGGGCCTGGATTCTCAACAAAATTCAACTGATAGTAAGAAAGATGCGAAGTTAGGCTATTTTCTGTTTAAAGAAGGACATGTTAGCAATGTTCAAGCAAAGCCTAATATTCCAAACAGTGTAAGCAGAAAGTCATTTATACTGAAAGCTACTGTACCAGTGCATGCATCAATGAAGAAGCTTAGTTATGTTGTTTATGTACACTTGGATCAAGTAAATGGTGATGTTGTTCATGGTCGTTCATGTAAGGCGGGCAAGGGAGGCCAATGTAAACATTTTGCTGCTATGCTGTATCAAATTATTGACTATGTACAATTCAAACAGTCATTAATAATTGATAAGCTTATCGGCAAGTCATGTCAACCATAATATGTCACATGAAGAGGCTTTATACCTGATAAAACTCATCTTCATTAGTATTGTTTATATAAAAGTCCATCCTATTAATTAGTATTCTTTATACAAATATCTATCTATTGTGGTCATGCTTTGAAGCTATTCAAAACACTTGACTTGTCGACAAACAAATTTTGGTAATTGGTTGTCAAAAGCAGAAAATCAATTTACCAAAATCAATAATTAAAACACTTACAAGCAGTACTAAGTCAACATCATGTCCTATGCTGTGTAGATGGGGGAAACAAAAAGAAACCGAGGCATTGAAGCAGAGTGTTTCACACAAACTAAACAGTGTAAATGTCTGTTCGTTGTGCGGTTTTGTTGTTGACAAAACATCGCCTTGCATGGTTAGGGGCCAGCCCTGATTTTCTTATTCATGATTCAACTGTCCATACTCCAAGTGAAATAACGCAACAGATGAGGCTTGTGATGACAAGAATTTTTTCCTCTCTAAAGTTGACGGTAAAGGACGACAAAATCACAGTTACTACTCTCAAGTACAAGGGTGCTTGGCCACACTTGTGCTCAAGTGGTCGGATTCAGGGAGGAAACTTGAGGGGGGGAGGGGGGCCACCCCCAAAGTACAAATCATCTGGATTGGCAGGGCAATAAAATATTTTAAATGATAGAATGTAGAGTTATTAGGTGGCTTCCAGAGGGAATTGAATAGAATTTATAGACCTAAATTTTACAGATATTGGTAGAAAAATAAGGGTATCATGCATGTT